CATCCAGCTCCACACCTTGTTATCTCAGATTCTCCAGCATCTGCATTCCCTACTATCTCTGAAACAAGATTATTTGCTTTATATGTCGCCAAAGTATATCGATAAGTAAAGAGGTGCATTTGGAACCACAACAAACAACAATACACACTAAATTCAGGGCTAGTTTTTTCCTTGAATAGCATGCTTAGGGCAAAGGAAATTGTTGTGCTGAAGCCCACTTCTAAAGTGGAAGAGTTTTTTACTTCTAAATTAGAAGCATTTGGATCTTCTAGTAAAAGATAAGAAATCATTCACAGATGTAGCAATGACAATGGCTGCTGACTCTTTATTTAAAGCCTTTAAGAACAAAGAAGCAATAACAACAACATAATCCAGAGTATGTCACATGGTGCTTCCACAGTAGCAAAATAAGTGGAACATTTGCCCAAAGACAACTTTCAGCAACTAAAGCAGGAACTGAAAGACTGTGAATGTTTCTCACTGCGGTTCGATGAATCCATTAGCATGACCAGCCTGGCCCGGCTGATTGTTCTTGTTCATACAGCTTTTAACTACATAACAACTAAAGAAGATCTTCTCATCCCTTTACCACTTAAACAGAGAACAAGGGATAAGGATATCTACAATGAATTCAAAAAGCACGTCCTTGAGAAACAAACATTCCAATCAAGAGACTAGTTTCCATCACAACTGATGGTGCACCAGCCATGCTTAGCAGAAATATCTGCTCTGTTGCATTTTGTAAAACTGATCCTGAATTTCCTTCCTTTGTCCAATGAGCAAAAAATAATTTCCGAACCATTATCAAGAAACGCTTCTTTACAAAAAAATTAGCAACACAGAGGAAACTTGCAGGTAGAATAATGCAAGCAAAACCCTTACAATAAAAATCTTGAATTTTATAACTGGAAAATGGTGGGATCTCCCTCAATTGATTAGGATGAGCTTGAATGGTCTTTTTCCTTTATAATTATCTTATAATTATTGCATGGTGTAATTCTCCTATCCATAGAAAACAGCACATGCTCATCCTGCCTTCAACTAATGAAATCCTT